CCTGCAGTGGTCACATAAAGCCTGTATCTGTGGAGGCTCATTACAGTAATTATATTCATACAGTGGTTTATTATATTAAAATATACACATTATAGGCTCCTCACAGTGTATTCTTATATTCTCATGTGTTTCTATAGTCATTTATTTAATATAATATAATGTAATATAAGATAATATAAGGTTTTTAAGACTTTATTGATCCCACACTGGGGAGATTCCCAATAGAAAAATACAAGATATAATAGAGAAATATGAGTTATTAGAGTTATTTGTGCATTATTGTGTCTTTAAATTACATCCTGTAATATCATCCTACAGTAATTCTGTAATATGTAAACGCTGATGTCTCCTATAGTTCACATATTTAACATATAAACATTATTAGAGGAAGAAAATGTAAAAAAAATATGGTTACTTTAATCCCTGATATTTGTATCAATTCTCTAAAAACGTGTTGATTTTTGTGAACTGAGGGCAGATTTTATTCAAATAGTGGCGTCTTCTTTATACAGTTTCACAACATATCGTAATATATTAAATCGTAATTACGTATCGGCAGATTCTTTCCAATACACATTATAGGCTCCTCATTCAGTGACTTGATTGTTTAGGATTAGTCTAATTATATATTAAAACAATCCGTCTGTGTACATTGTGTCTGTTTACAGCGGCGTTATCTCTAATGTTATAATCTCTATGGTGATGCCCCCATAGTGACCGACACTGTGACCTTACACTCTCCTTCAGTCTTTATATTTACATTGTGCTATTTACATTATATTCCTGCAGTTCAGATTCTTACTGCGTCACATTATTCATCTGTTCTTATTTATTTGGGGATTTCACTGCCTTGTTTTGTGCAAACTGGTGAAAAACAGATACAAATAAACAAGAAAAACAATATAAGAGCTCATATAATGCACACTGAGTGTACAGTCCAGCACCCTAGAGGCCACCGGGTTGTTGTTTATCTAAAAATGAAAGTGTACATCTGATTTCCTTCCTCTGCTCTCCTCGTTTACAGCTTATTTGCTCCATCACGCTTAATTTAGAGCCACAGTCCATAATGTTCCTGTAGTATTCCCATGCGGATCCACATTAATGCATTCACAGTAAATTAGTTTAAGTAGTTTCAGTCCCGGCACTTTACATTAATGAGTAGTGAACTGTAGGCCTTCCTAGTTCAGCACAGGTGAGCTGTGAGTGGACAGCTGATTGTTGTCTTTATCTACCTGCAGTGTTTGATCAGCTCTAAGTGAGGTGATACCATCAGTGTGTGTGTGTGTGTGTGTGTGGGTTTATGTAAATGATGGATCTGATTTCAACCACAGGCGGCTTCCTGCACAACAAACACAGAAAGTTGGATGAGAATATGAGGATTATTGTCCGAAGCTCAAACCTAATCGCATTTATTCTGATCCAAAATAACTATCAGTGACATCAGTGCATTTAAATAACCCGTCACAGGACACCCTGCCTGGTTTCTGGCTGGTATCGTGATGCAAAGTGAGCTAGCAAGGTTATTTTTTAACCTTTATGTTTCCAGTAAAGCCTGATGTTCCACCCTGGCTCTTATTGTTCAGACTGGGAGTGCCCGAATACAGCTGCCACTGGGTAAAGTACCTTATTAGGTCCTAAGGAAGAGGGTGTGCTCCAGGAGATTCAAAGGTCCGTGCTTGGAGGAGGTTCCACAAATCCTTAAAGGACTATTTTTGGAGGGGTTCTAGAGATGGGTCGTTAGGGTCAAATGGTCTTTACTTACTTACTTTAGGAGTTCCTCAGGTCTCTGTGGAGGTTCTTTTTGTGAGGCATTAAAGAAATATAAGATGGTCTATAGGGGTCCGAGACATCTTTCAATGAGTGGCTTTAAAGGTTCTGGAGGTCCAGAATAATTGGGGGCAATTATATGTATTTTAGGGGGTTTAGGGCTTCATGAAGGGGTTGTAGGTGCTCCAGGAGGTTCCAGGAAGTCCATACATGGGCTTAAAGGGTTTATGAAGATGTAGAGGTTTTAGAGGTTCCAGGTGTCCTTGAGGGGCGTAGGTTAAGTGGACAAGGGATTAAGGGTCATTTGAAGGGGTTCTGGAGGTTTTATAGATCCGTTGTTGGTTTCTTCAGGGTTTTTACTACTAAGGGTCAGAGAGCTCTTTCATGAGGTCTCTTAAGGTTGATTTATTATTGCTTTATTGCTTAATGTAATGATCCATGCAACACAGTTAGAAACACCTTGAACCTCTTCATAGAAAGATTCTTTTTTAAGTTTTAGGGGAGTTTCAAGCTCTGTATGAGGTGATGATGTAACAGTGGCATGAAGGGGTTCAAATATTTTGTCAAGGTATCTCTACAGAGGCTCTAAAGATTATTGAATGGGTACAGGGGATATTAAGTGAGTTCTAGTAGAATTTGAGTCGGTCTCTTAGGTCCTAGCGGAGGTCTAAGGATCCCTGTGGGGTCCCAAAAGGGGTGCCATTAGATTTAGGAGGTCTTTCAGGGCGTTTACCAGATGTTTATTCAAATTCTAAACATCACTGAAGTGGCTCTTTGGGGTTTTGAGTGGTTCTAGACTATCTGAGGAGGTTTCTAGACACAGAAAATTGTTTAGTGGCCTCTCTGGGAGCACACCTGATTAGGTAGAGCCTCTTTACCTCTCAGGAGGTTTCAGGGTCTCTAGGGGAAGTGATTTCAGCTGAACAGTGACTGTGGAGAGTGTTTATTGGTATAATTCTCCCTCTAGACTTCACTGTGCGATGGAGGGACTCAGTTCAGCCAGACTTTGTGTTTATAAGCAGCAGATATTCAGGTGGATGATGTGTTCTGGGTCTGGGGTGTTGAGGCCGTCATGCGTCACACCTCACCAGTTCATCTCCTCATTTGGGCTCACAAACGCTCCTCTGTCAGCCTCCAATCTAACTCATCACATTAAGGAGGAATTCAGCTGACTTGGGTTGAGCTGTGAGGAATGTGAGACAAACTTAAACACAGTGGAAGGTTATCATCTGAACTCACTGCTCAGCAACGCACCAAAAAAACCAAAACATAAACACGTAGACAGAACTTATTAACCCTGTCTGGTCCATTCTGTTGAGACAGAAACACAATCAGCTGTTCACAGTGCTAAACATCCAGTGAAGCAGTCCTGTTGTTTAAGTCAATCCAGGACCTGAGCAGTTCTTTCTGTTAAAACCCCCTCAGGTATGAATGGTATGTAACACACCCTGAGAACGAATGCAGCATTTTACCTCTTAGTTAGCCAGCCCCTCACCATCTTAAGGATTAAAAACTGTGCTTTACATTATATCCACAGATTATAGACTGGAAATTAGCTTGTACAAATACTGGTGTTAGATATTGAACTTTGTGTTAAAGGTGGAGTCAGTCTTGAGAAAGGTCTCGTTATCAGGTAATCAATCAAAGTGTCGGTGTTTGACGCCCCCACCTTTAAGCTGAATGTACATACTTTCAGACACAACGTTGGTTGAGTTGGTTCCCTGAGGAGGTTTCCTAGGTGGTGCACAGCTAAAAACAACTACTGCAAACAGAACATACAATACTTATACTTACAGCTATTTTAAAATATTCTGTTTTGAAACTGAAGCAGTGTTAAAGTTCAAAGATTCAATAGAAATTGTTTACATTCTGATTCCTTCACATCTTTTATCATTTTGTGGGGCCCAGTAAATCCTGCAGATGACATTAAAATGTGTTTTATGTTCTATGTGGTCCTGTTTGTAGAATAAGTCACTATAAACCTGTATAAAGGCCCAGTCTTGAAATAGACTGTGAAACCTCCAGAATCTGAAAAAATACCTTGATAGAAATGTTTGCAGTATTTTCTACACACGGTTCAACATCCAGCAAGTTAATCTGTTTCATAATGAGATTCTAGAGGTTCCTTAATGAGGTTCCACGAAGTTCCCAGAGGCAGGAAATGAAGATTAACTTAATTCTGGTGGTTTGTCTGTTTCCAGGGTTCTTCTTTTATTCCCAAACATTTAGTGATGCACTGTAGAGCCTGAAAAATATTTAACTGGACAATACTGCATTATTAAGTGTAACTATATTGTACCTACAGCAGTGAGAGCATCAGGTGATGAATGCAGACTGCTGTGTGACTGGCTGGTTAACCATAATGTGATTATTAAGAGAACACAAGGAGACCACTGTCTGCCTCCGCACAGCAAAACCCCCACCGCTTCCTCCTTCCTCTGCAGGGTCAAAGGTGAAGGCTACACTACTGGCACCAAGAGTGATACAGAATACAGTAGCTCCACTGGATCGGTTAAAGGAAGCAGGTAGTGTTTTTCTTGAAGGTGGTTCTGGAGCTTTAGAGTTACAGGGAGTTCCTTGATGAGGTTTTGAGGAGCATTGTTGAAGTTACGAGGGCCATGTAGAAGTGTTTTTGAACATTTCTAGTCATTTTTGAGATTCCAGATTGTTGGTGGGTGTTGAAAGGTATTGGGGGGTTCTGGGGGTTCCTCTGGGGGTTTGAAGGCCCTTCTTAAGATCACTGAAAGAGTCATTGAGGGCTTTCAAGGGAAGGTTTCTAGGAATCTTTAAGATTTTTTCAATGGATGTTAAATGTGTTAAAGAATGGGTTCCACAGGTTCCTAAAATGTTTTATGGGTCTTTAAGGGGTTTGTAGGGTGTGTGAGGGACGCTAAGAGGTTTTTCTTTGTGTTAGTGGACATTCCTCTGAAGGTCGAAAGGGTCTTCGAATGGGTTCTTAGGGTCCTGAAGGTCTTCATGTGCTGATTGAAGGTGTTCTAGAGGTGCTTAAGTGGACGTGTGATGGGCCTTCAAGGAATCTCTGTCTCTCCTAAAAGGTAAAAGGTCAGCACCAAGGTCTCGCCACAGGAGTAACATTCACGGACCACGTCGACCCGATTTATGGTGCAGCATCAGCTCTGAGATCAGTCTAGGAGACATTTGGATTCTATAAAAAGGAAGGGTTCTTTGAAAATCTACTGAGGTCTTTGAGAAAGTTTTACATCACATTTGGTTTGAAGGGTTATGGACTGCCTTCTAAGGATCTTCAAGGTCACTCACAGTTTTCCAGTGGTCTTTCAATGGGGACCAGGAAGTTCGATTGGTCTTTAAGGATTATTTGAATGTCCAGGGGTCTATGAGAGGGTTCCACAGGTCATCGAATAGTTTTGATGGGTCATGAAGTGAGTTATAAGGCCTCTGAAGGAATCTAATCACCTGTGATTTAGACTTCGTTGTGAAACCTTCTTGTAGGTTTGAAGGGTCATGGACTGGGTTCTAAAGATCTTAAAGGTCTTCTTGTGGTAGCTTTTCTAGAGGTCCCATGGATCAATAATCATGTTTTTAGAGCTTGGGAGGTCTGTGGAGTGGGAGAAGTCCTTCAGAAGGTTCTGGTGGTCCGACAGGGTTTTAAGGCCTCCTAAAGGGGGATATGTTGTCTTTAAGGGGGTTCAACAGGACAGTGAGGGCATTCTGGGGGTTCTTTGAGAGTTTCCAAAGCCTCCTTGAGAGTGTTTAAGTGTGTCTGGTAACAGGACACAGTGTGTAGGTCTTGACTAATTCATTAGAAAGCTGCTGCTGTCACAAGAGAAGCTCCTCTGGCATTGACCTCTCCTTGTGTGTAATATCATACAGAGCTGTTTGCTTTTTCCACATATATAAAATATATATACTAAAATATATATTAATCCTCTCCTGTTATAAACTTTAATGAGGTCAGATGTCAGCCAGATAAAAACCAGAAGAAATACGCATGTTAAGTTCTTAGTCTTGGACCCCAAAGCAGAGACGCACACACACTGGTGAGTGGGAACTGAAGATTCTTTAATGATAATCCAAACCCCAAACCAAAACCAAGAACAGAGGCAGGCAGGTGAGGCAGGGAGCTGGCTGGCAGGGTGAAGTCTTCTGCAGGATTGCTCAGGAGAATCTGGATGCCAAACAGCATGTTGAGTGAGAGCAATGAATATTCTGGCAGCAAGCAGGAGTGAAGACCAGGTTAATAAGGTGTTGGGGATAGGCTGAGTGAATTCAGGTGTGCCCTCTGCTGCCAACAGGAGGAGCCAGCCACACACCAGCTCTGCAAGGGAACAGAAAAGGGAGGGGAAAAGAGGAAAAAAAGAAAGCACAACAACAAGACCAAACTAAGCCAAACCATAACAACGCAGACCTCAAACAGAAACCACTGCTAAATATATAATTTGCTAACTGCTTTCATAAAAACAAAAGAACAATTAAAGAAATGGGGAAGTGGAAAAAATTTTTTCAGTTGTGTTTTGAGTTGATACGGGAACGTGGTCTGTGGGTTGTAGTGTGATAATGAATCATTTCAGCGTGTTTCTGCTTTTATATCATGTAAACAATTAATCCGATAATAACTGTTCAATCCAATATGAAAATACTCGTCAGGCTTTTTATTCTTTATGATTCCATCATGTTGGGAGTTGATTCGATCTACCAACCGGTTTAACATCATTCCTTTATAACACACACACACAAACACACAAACACACACAGGAGTTTATAAATGTTTGTGTGGAAATGTTGGCAGTGAGTGAGGCGATGTCAGAGAGAGCATCTGTTTGTATGAGTGAAAGAGAGAGAGTGTGAAAACAGAGGGTGAGCGAGTGAGCGTCTGTTTGCGTTCACACGCATTTGTTTGACTACAGCCGTCCTCCATCTCTCCTCCCTCCTCCCTTCTTCCTCACCTCCTCACTACCTGTTCCTTTTCTCCTAATGGAGCTAATGTGCTATATTTAGTCACACAATGATACCGAACTAGCTGATCCCGCCAATCATTACCTAGCTAGTTAGCGTTTGGTTACGGAGCAAAACACTAATGAACTAGCCAGCTAATGATTGATGTAAATTAGCTTGGGCAGTGTTTTGCTAATATTACCTAATTTAAGATATATATGTCACTTTTATCATTTAAGCATCTTCAAAATGTGGTTGTCCTTTTGACATAGATTAGCTTAGCACATA